AATGCTTCCTCGGAGCTGACCCTGGGCTCCATGCAGCACTTCAACTTTGAAGTGTAGCAACAGCAGAGGCACCCTATTGATTAATTGAATAGTCATGCCATAAACAGAAACTGGCACAAAAGAAAAGCCAGTCTCCACAGGACAATAGAGCATCTTCAGCATTTGTGCTTCTCTGGGACAGTGCAGGGTGAAGAGCAAGAGAACTTGGCATAAAGCATTCTCATTTGAAGGGACATGGCTGAGGAATGAACTTCCAGAGCCAATTAGGTGAATCCAAGAGTCTAGTTGTCTAACAAACTCTGCAAAACTTGAAAAATATGTTTCCACTATAGCAAGAATGGGTGGATAACATGAGCATCAGTCTTCAGCAGTCAAATTAACCAACCAAAACAATCTCCAACTTGTTCAGTGTAATGGTTCTTGGAGTACCCAGGACTATGAATCACCTTATTTACCCCTGCCTTCAGTGGGAGAGTGTCTTGCTTATGCTCGCTGGGTTCAGTTCCCTGAAATCACCAGCCTGTGAACAACTAAAGCACTTTCCTCTAGGCTATGCCAGCCCTTATGGGGCCTTACAGTTTACCATAAGATACACCCCAGTCCCTGAGTGTCTTTGAAGTGCTCACCAGTGATAGCCAGCCCTTGACTATGGATACTCACAGAACTACCAGATCCTTTGCTCCCAAAGGAGTGGAACACACCACTGTGTAAGATTCAGCTTGGGAACATTGTCTTTTCTCTTGACCAGGACCAACTGCTGTGCCCTGTGTATTTTTTTTTCTTGTGCTTTTTTTCCTGCAGTGCCTCTCTTCCATGTATATTGGCCAAACTGGACAGTCTCTATGACAAAGGATTAATGGACTAAATTGTTAGCTTGTAATTGAATAGTCATGTAACCATATAAAATTTTAGTTGTTGTACAACTGTTTGATAATCCTTGGGGGCAGGGCTATCTGGTCCCACTGGTAGGGAGCACACTGCATTGCAGCCTCTCAGTGCTGGGTGGCAAATGGGAGCTGGGCCGTGAGGAGAGCCAATTTAAAAACCAGTTCCCCCGCACAGATTGGCTTGCCTTCTGCACCGCTGCCTCTTATGTAGAGGTAGCAGCATGGGTCGGCAGCAGTCCCTGTCCACGAGACTGGGGGGGGGTTCGAGCTCCCCATAGATAGAGGCTGATCCAGCATCAGCAAACAAAGGCTGCTCCGCAGCAGTAGCCCCTGTACTTGGGGGTCTTGTACTTATTAATCTCATTTGGTGACCCCTAGTTCTTGTTTTATGGGAGCAAGTAAATAGCTTTTCCTTATTTACTTTCTCCACACTGGTCATGGTTTTATAGACATCTATCATATCCCACCTTAGTCTCTTCTTTTCTAACCTCAAAAGTCCCAGTTTTATTAATCTCTCAGTGTTGGCCTTTCCAAACCCCTAATTATTTTTGTTTCCCTTTTCTGAACTTTTTCCAATGCCAAGATATCTTTTTTTAGATTAGGTGACCACATCTGCACACACTATTCAAGAGTTGGGTGTACTGTGGATTTATATAGAGGCAATAAGATATTCCGTCTTATTCTCTATCCCCTTTTTAATTATTTCTAACATTTGCTTTTTTGACTGCTGCTGCACATTGAGTGGATATTTTCAGAGAACTATCCTTAATGATTTCAAAATCTTTTCTTACATGGTAATACCCATAATTTACTATGTAGACTAATTAGTTAATTGGGATTATATTTTCCAATATTCATCACTTTGTATTTATCAACATTAAGATTCATCTGCCATTTTGAGACAGTTCCTCATATTTATCACCTAAAGAATGGCTCAGGTTTGGGAATCTCCCTAACATCCTCAGCCTGAAGACTGATGCAGATAATTCACTTAGTTTCTTCACAATGACCTTATCGTCCTTGAGTGCTTCTTTAGCATCTCAATCATCCAGTGTCTCCACTGGTTGTTTAGCGGCTTCCTGCTTCTGATGTAATTAAAATTGTTGCTATTAATTTTTAAATTTTTGGCTAGCTGTTTTTCAGATTCCTTTTTGGCCTTCCTAATTATATTTTTGCAGTCTGTTTGACAGAGTTTTATGCTCCCTTCTATTTTCTTCACTAGGTTTTAACTTCCACTTATTTAAATGATGCCTTTTTATCTCTGTGCTTCTTTTACTTGATTGTTAAGCCATGGTGCTCTTTTTTGGTTCTCTTACTGTGTTTTTAATTTCGGAGTATACATTTAAGATGAGCCTGTATTATGGTGTATGTGAAAAGCTTCCATGTAGCTTCAAGGGATTTTGCTTTTGGCACTGTACCTTTTAATATCTGTTTAATCTCATTTTTGTGTAATTCCCCTTTTTGAACTTAAATGCCACAGTGTTGGGCTGCTGTGGTATTTTTCCCACTTCAGGGATTTTAAATTTTATTACATTATGGTCACTATTTCTAAGCGGTCCATTTCTTAGACCAGATCCTCTCCTCCACTTAGGACTACATCAAAAATTGCCTCTCCTCTTGTGGGTTCCAGAACCAGCTGCTTCAAGAAGCAGTCATTTAGGGTGTCAGAAATTTTACCTCTGCATCCCATCCTGAGGTGACATGTACCCAGTTAATATGGGGATTGAGTTTTTTTAATTTTTATAGCTTCTGTAATCTCTGTTAGCATTTTGCAGTCAATATCACCATTCTAGTCAGGTGGTTGTCAGTATATCACTACTGCTATATTCATATTTTGTCCATTTGAAAGTTATATTTGTGACTGGTGTACTATCGACTTTCATTTGAAACCTCACATAACGTTCTTTGGTAAAACAGAGTATGCACAGCATCCTGTTTCTGTAACTTCACAGCACTCCCTCATTAGTTGGCATTAGAGGTTTTTGGGTCACCGTCAGCACATAATCCATTTCATACGTGCCTTTTCCTTGCAGATCCAGGTGATCTATTAATTCTTGTTCCTCCAGGCAGGAGTGTGTCAAGTGCACAGAGTCAAGGGTTGGTTGGGCGAGCAGGGCAGTCATAAAAAGGCATCTCAAAAATAAGCAGGAGGTGTTTAAGGGGGAGAGGTGGCACTTTCTGGTCTCTGAGACTCTTGGGCAGAGGAGTTTACAATTGTGACCAGAGCAGTCATTGTCATAAGAAATAAGGGATTGTAGGAAGAGCTGCTGGAGTACTATTGGGGTCAACAGAAATCACAAAATGCTTATATTTGCAGTACATCAACCTCAGTCGCTTGATTATGGTTCCATGCCTTACAGTGAAAAAGGAAGTCCATCTCCCTGCGATAGGGTGCTTATGTCAGTTAGAGAAATTTGAGCATAGACATAGGTCAATGTAACATGATTTATATTGACCTAACTTTTAGTGTGGACCAGGTCTCAGTGTGTAGAATAGACCAACCACAAAAATTAGACTGGTGTTCGACATCACCTGGACATGGCGGTTGCAGTTACAAAATGAAGTTCACAGTTTGACACCGAGCCACCACCAGTCTGTCATACTTGTCGACACAGGGCAGGAGTATAGTTTAGATCTGATAAGTTGTTGGTTCTTACTAGCAGTAATCTCTTTTGGGAAGGATCGTTAAGAACTGCTTTTCCACTCAAACATGTTGGTTAAATTTAGGGAAGCACAAAAGCTTGATTAGAACTCTAGGATTAACACACTGACTCTTAAAATATATTTCTAATGACTTCACCTGGTTAGACACGGGCTTATATTTTCCTCCAACAGTGCCTTGAGCAATGCTTCTCCATCTATAAAGTTGGTGCCTATCATCATAGCATCCAAGTATTTTCAGATAACTGACTTTATAACTGTTGTCTTTGTGGGGAAGGATAGTAGCAGCTATATAATGTAGGTAATTTCTATGAGGATATACTGTCTAGTTAAAAGGAGGTTTGTGTGCAGTACACCCATTGAGAGTATAATGAATTGTCAGAATTTTTGTATAAGGTTTCTATTTCCAGGGGGCCTTTAAATTCTGAATCAAAATTCTGTGCTGAAACCAGGATCACAGATTCTGTACTGTGGGAAAGTAGTAGGTTTTATTTCATTGTATTTTAAAAAAATATGTAAATGGGAATTTTCTTTAAGTGAACAGTGGCTGACAACCTGTTAATGATTTTTGCCTGAATTCACTTGTCAAATTTCCTGAAGGATACTGAGCTGTGTGGGCAAAGCAGGAAAGACATTGCCAGACTTTGAGGGATGTGTTCTTGCAGCTGATGTTTCTCTGCTAAAATTATTACTATTTTTTTATGAACCATATAAAGTAGGGAAGTGAAAGGTTAACCTATAAGTATTACCCTTAACGTGATGCTTATCGGTTTTGATTAATGGGTGAGGACTGGAGCAGCTCCTTGCCTGTCGGGGGCAGTGGCCTGCTCCTGTTGTCCAGAGCAGCCACTGTTCGTGGCCGGCCTGGGCACGCGGACAGAGCCAGGCTGAAGCAGCCCCTTCCTGTGGCGAGGGTGGGAGGAGTTCCAGCCCAGCTGCAGAATGTAGTGGGGGGCTCCCCGCCCACCCCCCTTAATTGGTTAACCTGTTTAACTAGTTAAACATTGTTTACCAATTAAATGGGATTTTACATCCCTAATATAAAGTATAATTAAGTCACCCCATCACCTTCTCTTTAGTTTAACAGTCTGTCGCTGTGGGCGTCCAAAACACTAGTTACATGTGGCTGTTTGACCCATTGAGTGTGGCTAGTTGGCCTGTTGAGTGTGACTAGTTTGCCATAGCAGTAGTGGCTGCTACTGCTTCAGAACTGGCTGGATGTCACAAGTCTATCGCTATGAGCAGGGCTTGCCAATCGGTGGCGAGCCCCGCTCGCCAGCCATGCAGTTCTGCGCATGCGCCGGCTCTGTGCCGGCTCTTCCGGGCATCGCTCTGCGCCGGCTCTTCCGGGTTGTAATCTACTTGCCACAGGCGAGTAGATTACGTTATTTGTCGAGCCCTGCCTATGAGGAATGTTTTCTAACCCTTTAATCTTTTTTTTTTTAATGACTCCCCTCAATCCTCTCCAATTTTTCCAGCAGCAGTTACATCAGTGCCACTTAATCTCTCTATGCTTGCTAAAGACTCCCATTTATGCATCCAGAGATTGCGCAGTCCTTCTTGCCATGGCATCACACTCAGATTCAGCATGACCCCCACATTTTATGTTCCTCCATTGTTGGAGCTGGACTGGGAGGAAGAAGTAGAAGTAAAAATCTAATGTATTAAAGGGCATAACAATTATATAAGCATTTGCAGGTTCCTATTTTAGTCTTTCATCTACCACGAGTGTTGAACAGGAAATAAATCTGTATCCCAAGCTCATGATAACAGAAAAGTTCCAGTGCTTGAGTTTGGTTAACTTTGGGTTTTAATTCCCTATAAGCAAGATAAGTGGTTTCAGACAGGTGGGTTGAGGTTCCCTCTGTGGGGTATTATATAAAATGTGTGATGTCTCTTGAAGAAATCCTGTACCTTGAGGTTTCTGTTTGTTAAATTGTGGATTGTTAGGTGTTGGCAGCAGGGAATAAGACTCTTGAGGAAAACATTGGGGTACCAAACGCTATTCAGAAGGCTTAGAATGAAAAGGATAACTAAATAAGGCCAAGGAAGATCAAGAGTAACGTACCTCCAGGGAGGGTTGCTCGTATGTGGAATGGACTCTAAGACCCTGACAGAAATTGCAGCCAGCGAGTTATTCAGAAAGAGCTATCCAGGTCCTTAAAAACAAAATGAAAATGACGACACCTGCCCACAAGACATTCTGTTCATTCCACACCGGGCAGTTCTCCTTCATCATGTTGGATAGTGAGTCCCAAGCCTAGTGGCAGGAGAGAGAGTATGCCATTCAATCCTCATCCCTCCATTTTGCTATAGCCAGTCAAAATATGTGTGTACGGGAGAGTGCTTATTTGTGTTCAGCTTCATTTTGCTCATTTCCCCAACTCTTATTTTTGTGGGTTTTTCACTCACGTCTCTCAAAATGAACTAGATTTTGTATTTTTTCTTTTTTTTCTCCCTAATTTTCCAACACATGTGCCTGAGCTCCTGGAGTTCAAACCACCGTAAAAGGCTGACCATCTTGTGGAAGCAGGTATCCAGTTTGTTTATTACTTTTACAAACACGTTTATCTTCCCTTCCCCCCCCTTCCTGTTTTCTTCCTCCTCTTTCCATTTCTCTCCTTCTCCCCCGACCTTTTCAGATGTTAACAAGGTCAAATTCCATGTTAGTAGTAGATGTAGGAACATAAGAACGGCCGTACTGGGTCAGACCCAAGGTCCATCTAGCCTAGTATCCTGTCTACCGACAGTGACCAGCACCAGGTGCCCCAGAGAGGGTGGACCGAAGACAATGATCAAGCGATTTGTCTCCTGCCATCCCTCACCAGCCTCTGACAAACAGAGGCCAAGGACACCATTTTATCCCCTGGCTAATAGCCTTTTATGGACCTAACCTCCATGAATTTATCCAGCTCCAATTTAAACTCTATTATAGTCCTAGCCAGCTGTTAGTTATTTGATTATCTTATCACTAACAGGGTTGATTAAAATTGATGATTTAAAAAATATTTTAAAAACAATTTTTTAAAAAATTTCTCATTTAAAAAGTTGCTATTAAATCTCATCACAAACATGCTACACATAGACTTAGTTTCATAAAAATGAATTAATGGCTCTCGTCCGTCCAGCTAGAATTCCAGCTCTTGCTCCTTGAAAGTTCTGGGCTTTCAATTTCTTTTTCTCAGAAGACTAAGAAGTAACATGTGCAAAGACAGACAAAAGCAGAGTAGGAGTTTTTTGTTCTGTGCTTATGTGATGGTGGAAGCATGGCAGAGAAGTTAGTTAAGACATTATCTTAAACACAGACAATACTTAGGAAAGGATATTGGCAGCATATTGGAAAGAAAAAGGGAAGACATTGCTCAGTATTGGGGATCAAAGAATCCTAGAGCACTAGAGCTGGAAGGGACCTCCAGAGGTCAAGTCCAGTCCCCTGTCCTCTCAGCAGGACCAAGCATCATCTAGATTGGGGTCAGCAACTTCTGGCATGCAAGAGAACCAAATGTGGCTCTTTTTGGGAGCTGCTGGGAGTTCCTTAAGGTGCATGCCTAATCCTGCCCATCTCCTAACCCAGCAGCGCTCACCTTCCGGCTGCTTCTGGCACAGGCTACGTGATGGGCATCTGCCGAAGCTGGGCTGCAGCATAGCTGCTCTGGGGGCCCAGGCCCAGGGTATGCCCTTGTCTTTAGCCCCCCCACCCCTGCTCTGACTCCTGCATTTGTATGCAGCTTTGTTGACCACTTGTTCTGAATGTTAATGTAGTTTGGCTCTTAGGTCAGAACCTTTTCAAACCAAAGTTTCCTGCATGTGGCAGGTAAGCTGCTAGCACTGGGCTTGGTGGGAGAGAGGAGGGCCGGGGCTGCGTGGTGGCTACTCACTGTTCGGGGCAGGGCTGGGTGGTAGGTGGCTGCCTTGTGTGCTGGGCCTGTGGCTACAGTGCTGTTTTTATTACTGCAGCCTCAACCTCAGGTGCAGCTGCACCATGGCCCCGGTTCCAGCCCTGGCACCTGGGGCAGCCTCTCGCCATGCGGCCCCATCCCGAGAGCAGCTGCTCCTGGGCCAAGGGTACTATTTTTAGTGCCTCATCTCTGGCTCCAGCCCTGGCACGAAGGGCAGCTGCCCGCCTTGTGGCCCCTCCCCAGGAGCAGCTACGCAGCCACCCAGCCCGGAACCTGCTTAGTCGGTTAACTCAGGGGTCTCCAAACTTTTCAGCCCGAGGGCCGCATTAACTATCAAACAGCAGTTCGGGGGCCGACTACACACTTGAGGTCCAAATAAAAAACAATCAAAACATGGATGTTGTTTTTAATTATTTATTTAATATTATTTTATTCAGTTATTATTTAATAACACATTGATACACTACACATGAACACCTGTATTAGTGTGAATGGTGAAATTGTTTCCTGGATGCCAAAATAGCAGACATTTCTGGCTTTAGATTTGTTACGCGAAGGAAATTATCACTAAATAAAATAGAGTGCAACATGTTTCGAAATCAGACGCTAATTGACACCACCACCTCCTCATCGCAACAGTCAAACTGCAACTGGCAAACTGATCAAAATAATCAAGTCTTGAACCAGCAGCAAACCATTTAAAAACTCCGCCACTAGATGGCGTTATATCATCTCATTGACTGAACGGAAGTAGAAAAAGTAAGCAGCGAATAAGGTTTTGCAATGTAATGATCGGTTGGAAAACATAACGCACTACTGCGTGCCTCTATTTTAATTTGGTAAAAACATAACGTCCACGTAAGCGGCGGCTGATCTTGGCAGGATACACGTAAATTTCCGTAATTTTTTTTCCGTAGACAAAAAGGTCTCTACGGGCCGGATGAGAGGGCCTCGCAGGCCGCATCCGGCCCACGGGCCGTAGTTTGGAGACCCCTGGGTTAACTGTTTAAATGTTAGGTCAACTTAATGTTTAACTGGTTAACCAGGATAGAATAATAGAACACTAGAACTGGAAGGGAACCCAAAAGGTCATTGAGTCCGGTCCTCTGCCCTCACGGCAGGACCCAGCACCATCTAGACCATCCTTGATAGATGTCTGTCCAACCTGCTCTTAAATATTTCCAGTGATGGAGATTCCACAACCTCCCTAAGCAACTTATTCCAGTGTTTACCCACCCTGACAGACAGGAAGTTTTTCCTAATGTCCCACCTAAACCTCTCTTGCTGTAATTTAAGCCCATTGCTTCTTGTCCTATCCTCAGAGGCCAAGGGGAACAATTTTCCCTCCCTCCTCCTTGTGACACCCTTTTAGATACTTGAAAACGGCTATCATGTCCCCGCTCAGTCTTCTCTTCCAAACCAAACAAGCCCAATTCTTTCAGTCTTCCCTCATAGCTCATGTTCTCTAGACCTTTCATCATTTTTGTTACTCTTCTCTGGACCTTCTCCAGTTTCTCCACGTCTTTCTTGAAATGTGACCAGAACTGGACACAATACTCCAATTGAGGCTTATTGAGCGCAGAGTAGAGCAGACGAATGACTTCTCGTGTCTTCTCGCAACACTCCTGTTAATGCATCCCAGAATCATGTTTGCTTTTTTGGCAACAGTGTCACACTGTTGATTCATATTTAACTTGTGGTCCACTATGACCACTAGATCCCTTTCTGTAATGGATCTCTAAGTCCCTGTTTTGTTTCAGACCAATTCCACAAACCAGATACAGAGAAGGGTTGGAACTTAACTTCATTCACAAGTTTAATTCTTATGCAAATAGTATGAACCGTAGAATATCTGGATGGCTTGCACATTCTCTTCCACATCTTAATGCTTTTTTGTGATGTTATGCCCCGGGATGGCATACCAACACCTATTTTATCTGTATAACTTAAATGAATTGATTCCCCTCGGGCGTACTGGCAGCTCTTTTCCTGGGGTGGCTGGACTCCTGATGGAAGCCCGCTTGGGACATGCACTCTTAAAGGGGCCGCGACCGCATTTTGGCCCCCAGTGTGGTGGTTTCCCCCCCCCAACTGCCCCTCCGTACCAGCAACTTTTTTCTTATATTAAAAAAAAAAAGTACTATAACCAAACAAACAATAAAGGTGCTAATGGTTCTTGATGTCTGTGTAGAATCTAGTGTTGGTCATCTTCCTTTCCAAGTGCAAACTAATGGTTCTTGTCGACCCCTTGTAACTATTTAGTCTTTAAAGTGCTACTAGACAATTTGTTGTTTAAGTTTTTCCTGTTACAGAACAACTCGGCTATCCCTCTGAAGCTTATCTACTCACTGTCTTTTTTTTTTTTTCTTCCTCCCCTCCATTTTTTTTCCTTCTCTCCCCTTCCTGTATTTATTCTTGAATCTGGACTTCTAATACACCTGTCATCTTCAGAAGTGGGTTGTGTCCATGAAAGCTAATGATACCATCTACATGTTTTGTTGGTCTTTATGGTGCTACTAGACCAGTGTTTCCCAATTTTATTTGGCCACGGAACCCTTTTTACTGTGACAGAATTTCAAGGAACCCCTGGGTTCTGAGCAAAAAAACAAAACCAAAAACCCACTATGATTTGTAGAGCCTCCCGCCCCCCTCACCCGCAAAAACCCCACAATGTCCCTCTCTTTAAGAGGGGGCGAGGGAGTGCTGGGTTCTCGCGGAACCCTTACTTTTGCTTCGCGGAATCCTGGGTTTCCACGGAGCACGAATTGGGAAACACTGTACTAGACTATTTGTTTTTTCAGCTTTTCCTTTCTAGGCAGTCACTTTCCATTTATATTGCTATTCAGCATACCCACAACTTTCTATATCCCTCTCTCTCACACAATTTTACCATAAAAAAACTCATGGCTTCTGGGCAAGAGAGACTCTATCTAGGAATATTTTGAAGAAATTTTTTCCCTGAGTTAAAAAAAAAAAAAAAAAAAGGAAAATGTGTCAAGTATAAGCAGTGCAAGAATAAACATGATAAGGAGAACTGCTTATTGTGGGGAAATGATATGGATGAAGCTGTCAATATGGCTAAGTGGATCAACTGCTTATTAACTTAAATAATTTAAAAGAAAATGAGGAGTCCTATGGTACCTTAAAGACTAATAGGCTTACTTGGGCAGAAGCTTTTGTGGGTAAAAAGCCAATGCACCATTCTTCAAGACACTCTCTGTGATTTGAACAGTGTGATTTGAAAAGTAATTTCCCAAGCTGTTGGATGTTAGGGGAAAAAAAGTTTAGTTTAGCTAATTCTTATGGCTTGTTTAATTCGTTAACTAGGTTTAGACTCTCACCTAAACATACAGTACAGAAAACTGCGGCAAGAGAAATCTAGAGTTGCCAAATTACAACTGTCGTTTTCTTATTGTACATTATATAACACATGCTCCTTATTGTGGAACATCGTGGCCACAGACCACAACAGTAATGCCACCCGTCTGATCCCTGTTTTATTCATTTTGACTCCGCTTTCCCATGGGGAACCCCGTTCTCTAGTTTTCTCAAAAAAACAGACATGTCAGTGAGTTCAGTGGGGCTTACTCTAAGCACAGTGAGTTTTAGCTTTTTTGGTAACTTGATTTAAATTAATGTTGTTTTTGGTTGGGTGGGGTTTTTTGTGATTTAAATTGTGTAAATTGTAATTTAAATTAATCCACCCTATTTCTTGGAGGACTTGGTAAGACATACTGCTCCAGTTGTGCTCTGCCAGGGGATAGAGAAATACTAGAACGAGTGCACTTTCCACAATCTACCAGAGAAGAGGATGGGAAGAGAACATATTACTAGGCTTTTCTGAACAAATTCATTTGGTAACACAAAGCATTAACTCTCACATTGGCAGCAACTGGAGGACCCTCGATACTTTCATATAAAACAGTGTTTCCCAATTTTATTTGGCCACAGAACTCTCTTAAACTCGGAAGAATTTTGCAGAACCCCTAATAACAGTCTAATATATGGAGCTGAAAAATAAGTAAGGATAAACAAATGCTAAACAAGGTCATGAGATCAAGATTTAGTTTAATTTCACATATTTAAAAACAAAAATCATATAATATTTTTTAAATCATAAAATGTTATTTTAATGGAATTTTCTCTCATGGAACCCTTATTTTTACATCTCAGAACCCTGGAGTTCTGCAGAACACCATTTGGGAAATACTGATATAAAACAATATTCTTGTAGGTGCCTGTGTACAGAGTATTTGCATTGGCTTCAGCACTATCGTATGTTTGACATTTTTTTTTCAATATTTCTTTAGAGGAAGGTGGTACTAGTATGGGTCTGGGAACTAGGAACTCCGGAATTTGTATCTGCTTTGATGCTGATTTTCTATATGGTGTCAAACAGACCACTTTACTTGACCACCCTGGCGCATAAATACCTGGCTTCCCATGAGCACCAGCTCCTGCCTGCTCCCCCGGGCTGCTGCCTCTGTATTAGAGGCAGCAGCACAGGGCAGGGGAGAGGCAGCTCCATGGGAGGTTTCCCCCAACATGTAAATATAACTTCTGACATTGGGGGAGGGGGAGCGAGAGGCTGGAGCTGGCGCCGCTGGGGGAGAGCTGGGCTTGTTTACCTCCAAAGATGGGGGTTGGCAAGAGTAGCGAGCAAGGGCACCACCCCTAGTTTTTTTGTTTTTTAAATGTAAGTTACATTAACTACCCTATAATTATTTTGCACAAAGTCTGATTTAAGCAATAGGTTATACCAGACAGTTAATAGATCTAAAAGTTTGTAATTGAATTCCTTCAGAACTCTTGGGTGAATACCATTTGCTCCTGGTGACTTATTGTTTATTTTATCAGTTTGTTTCAAAACCTCCTCTGACACCTTAAGCTCAGATTGGTTCCCTAAAAAGAATGGCTCAGGTGTGGGATTCTCACATTCTTTGTAGTGAAGACCAATGCAAAGAATTAATTTAACTTTTCCACAGTGGTTTTGTTTTTCTTTAGAGCTCCTTTAGCATCTGTCATCCAGTGGCTCCACCAGTTGTTTGACATATTGTTTTGTGTCTTTTGGTAGTTGCCACTCAGATTCCTTTTTCTAAGCCTGCATCTTTCTAAACTCATTTATCTCTCTGTCTCTTCCCAAATCTTATTGCCCTTTTATGAATTTTGTGAAGTTTTTCTACATCTTTTGTAAAGTTTCCTAATCTGCACATGCTGTTTTAGATGCCATCAGAAGGTACACTATCTCTTCTTAGTCCTGTTTCAGAGGGGTAGCCATGTTTGTGTCTGCAAAAACAAGATCTGTGGCACCTTAAAGACTAATAGATTCATTTGAGCATAAGCTTTTGTGGGTAAAAACCACTTCGTCAGATGCATGGAGTAGAAATCAGAGGAAGAAGGGAGTTATAAATTATGGGACCCGTGTTAACTAGGCCAGTTCAGTCCAGTGTGTGTGGCTCATTTCCAGCAGCTGATGGGGAGGTGTGAATACCAAGAGAGGGAAATCTGCTTTTGTAGTGAGAGAACATTCTAAATCTTATTCCGTCCTAATTCAATAGTGTTAAATTTGCAAATGAATTGCAGCTCTGCTATTTCTCTTTGTAGTCTGGTTTTAAAGTTGTTTTTGTAAAGGGATGGTGATTTTTAAATGTGTTACTGAGTGTCCAGTTAGGCATGTTAAAAAGCGTGTGTGTGTGTGTTTTTGTAAATGTATAACTACTGACATTTTCAGCAGTTACACGATTGTGCCTTAAGCTTGCTCCCCACAAACAACGGCTTCTGCCTGCTCCCCTCCTTTCTGCTCCCCAGTGCTACTACCTCTGATAAAGATGCAGCAGTACCTGGAAAGTGGGGTTGGACCTTGATTGTTTCCATGAAGGTTAGCCAATGAGTCCAGGCTCATCAGTTAACTGTTTAAGTGTGTAGGCTAACATATCCTTAATCCAAGTGTATACAGCAACACCACCTCCCTTTTTTCCCTGCTTAGCCTTCCTGAGCAAGCTATACCCTTCAATACCAATATTCAAATCATTTTTAGAACTTGTGACCACTAGACCTGGACAAGAGGGCATAGAGGGCTTGATAAGTTGCCCTGTTCTGGTCATTCCCTATGAAGCATCTGGCCCTGGCCAGAGTCAAAAAATGGAGTGCTGGGCTAGATGGACTATTGGTCTGAGCCAGCATGTCCATTATGTTCTCCTGGTGGGGGATGAGGGATGGGGGAAGCAGGGGTGCTAGCCTTAGATGAGAGTGCATTAACAGGACTCAACAATTAGGGCAATGTACTCGCCCACGGCAAATAGATTTTAGCCCGGCACGGCGCCGCAGCACGATCAGCACATTTGTAGCGCGGTCTGCGCATGCGCAGCGTGCCAAACCATGCAGCTGGCGAGCGGGGCTCGCTGCCTCTTGTCAAGCCCTGCGCTTTAAGATAGGGAATTGTGAGATGAGCTGCAGAAGAACAGTTGCAGCTTGTGTATCTGGAGTGTTTAGCAGAGTGTGTGAATGATGGGATGGACTTCTCAAAGGAGCTGGCTGGGATCTTAAAGCAAAAGGTTACATGAGATGTTAGAAAAGCCCCCCCTGCAAGGCTCAGAGCTGTGGATTGATTTCTGAACCTGACTGCTCTGGACTCTGGAGGCTCGGTGTCTCTGTAAAAGGAAACTGGACATTTTAACAGGGACAGACTTCATGGCATTTTTTTCTGTTCCAGGGTACTGAGTCCATAAAGTTGGAAAATGGACAGAGCACAGCAGCTAAGTTAGGACTTCCTCCTCTCACCCCGGAACAGCAGGAAGCACTTCAGAAGGTGAGTGGTCATAGTGTGGCCTTTCTTTAGCACTTCCTGATCGCTAGTGTCAGACTTGCTACCGCAGAGGAGAGCACACCTGGTGGGGAACCTGCCTGCCAGGAATACATTGGGAATACTGACTGCACTGTCCCTGCACCTGAGCTCTTAGAATCATGCCCAAGAAATGTTTTTTCTTTGTTGGGAGTTCCTAGTAGCTGCATAGGAACATTGTGGGATGTACTTTATTTAAAAAACTCTGAGATCAAAGTAGATAACTGATCTTCAACTTCTATTAAGAGGTTTCTCTGATCCCCGTGATGATGAGATGTTGCTGCCCCAGAGTCCCTGGGCTCCACAATGAATAGATTCCAGAAATGCCCCAGCTGAATCCTCTGTAGGATTCATGCTAGAACACATTGTAAAATCTCTCTACCTCTCCTGTGCTGTCTGGCAGCTAATTACTTGTCACTTCATTATAAGGGAACTTTTAATGTGCTGCAAAGATTATTTTTAATCCCTTTGGAGCCAAGCTATTTTAATTGTAGAACAAAATCCATCCCAACTCTGACCTCTGGTCCTTGATTCCATGTGTGCAGCTGGTGAGGACATTATTGCTGACTTCTGGCTTCCATCCCCAGTGGGAATGAGTAATGTCTAACTTGTTGAGAGGAGAGCAGAGTTGGGAATGGAGGGGAAGGTGGGAGCTGTGGGCTAGGTGTCTCCCAGATTCTGGTGAGGCAGGTATGCCATTGTACTCTGTAGGCTTGGTGTAAATGTTCCCATAATGCTGAAGCTGCTTGTGTGTCTGTGTTTGGCTCGCAGTGTGAAACGGCCTCGTTTCCTCTGGCTGCTCCATAGCTGACAGATGTAAATCCCCTTGTCCGTTTCCAGGTTTCCGAAGCACCCGTCTCAAATCCACGGTTTAGAGCCTGCCGTTCCCCGGCACCTCCCAAACACGTTCAGCAATGGAAAGCAGGTGCCTTTGGGTGGGGTTGGCTGAATCTGTCCATCCTGTCCCCTTGACATGGCACGTCCATGGGTATTAGTGTCCCGTTGATTAGGAGCCTCCATCTCAACATCATTGGATGTGCAAGGCTCAATGCTTTCCAGAGTGGTGGAAGGCTGCAGAAAGGAAACACAGATCAGCCTTGTAGCCATAGGTTAGGGGACTGGCAGAGGGAGCTGTAGTATGTAGGACCCACAGCTCCTGCTTATAAAGATAGTGTAGGCCAGCTCTGACAAGGAAAGGAAGGGATGCGCTCAGTGCAGAGTCTGGGCATGGGGAATAGGTGCCACCTCGCTCTTTGTAGAACCTTTTGTCCAGATGTTCTGTGAGTGGAGAGGACTTGAAGGAAGCTATCTGTCCTGCCCTCATCTCAGCAGGTAAGGTGCTGTGGTGGGTGCTGAGGGGCAGAGGGAGGCAGAGGGAAATGCTGAGTGTGTAGTGCATGATGCTTTCCTAACATTGCAACTGCTGCAGACTCTTGAGTACTCTCAGTCCTTGCTCAAGCATTGTGCTGTATTTCAGGGTGAACAACTCCAAGATGCTGACCAAGACCATAGGAAGCTGTTGGCCCTTGACTAATGTAAAGTGCCTTAGTGCTTGGGGCCAGAGCACTGAGAAGCACCAGGGTAGCCAGTTGAGGGTTATGGGGAATATATGTAATTGAATGTCTTTCCCTGGCCCCTTGTGCAGTTGTAAGCCTTGTGACTATGGAGTCTGTATTTCCTTCCAGGCAAAGAAGTATGCGATGGAGCAGAGTATCAAGAGCGTGCTGGTGAAGCAAACCATCGCCCACCAGCAACAGCAGCTCACTAACCTTCAGGTGAGAGACCACTCTGGGCTGGTCCCCTTGCTTTTACTCTCCCCACAAGGTGGAGCCTTTTATGCACTTAGAAACAGAGCACAGCCCTGAGGTCTGCCTGGAGCCAGGTACTTGCACTTCTGTTTCCACAGTGAAATCGAAGTATGTCGTCTTCAGCCCTGTTAAGGAAATCTCCCTCCTGCCCTCATGCATTTCCCCCCCCCCCCCTTTTCCCCAAGAAAGTAGACTGCCTTAGGAAGGGAAGCCAATGCTTCTCTTCTGTTGGCGGGCTAGGCATTTTTTTTCAGTTGCCAGAAAATTAAAGCATCTGCTCTGAGTTCCATTGCCAACCTGAAGCTAAGGTGGTGTCCGGGGTTACTGGGAGCAGAACCCTTTCACCATCCTTCCCCCGAAGAGAAGGTGCCAGTCTCTGGCCTTGCTGGCAGTGTCACCTCTGCCATAGACTCTGTAGATTTTGCTTGGAACTCCAGCTGGTTCTCCCTGCTAGTGCAGGACTGTCTGTGTCCTGGGAGACCCCTCTGCTGCTACATCCCCCTTCCTTCTGAGATTCCTTGTCTAGAGCTCACTGCCTCCTCTGCTTGAGGTTAAAGAGCCCGGCATAAAGATTTAGGGGGGTTGTATGTTTACAAAATGTTGAAGTGGGGCTGTGCCAGCTGCATTAGGCAACTCTGGCCTTTCAGGGCTGTGTATGTTTCTGGGCAATTGCTCTAGATGAGGGGCTCCTTGTAATCACTGGGGGTGAATCAATGACAGTGGTTACAGAGGTTACTATTGCCCTCGGGAGAAGACCCTGCTTCCTGAGGCAGTGGCAGCAGCACACCCCCACCCAGAGTTGGTGGGACTGGCATCTGCAGGGTCCCAGCGCTGGACAGTCCTTGGGACCGGGCAGTGAGGGGCAAGTAAGGAGAGGCCTCTCCCACAGGTTCCCTGTGCCGTCGCTCTCTGCTTGAGTTTTTACAAACAGCCATAGTATGCTCAGCTCCAACAGACTGAACTCTGTCTTTACTGTCTTTCAGATGGCAGCAGTGACAATGGGCTTTGGAGATCCTCTCTCACCTTTACAATCGGTCAATAGACATATTCACTTCTTCTTGGGCACTTTGTCTTAGTCAGGGCCTAGAGTGGGGAAGTATTTAGTGGTAATACAATGCTCCTAACAAACCCAGCACAATTCTCCCACATACACACCTGCTATGGACAAGCACAGCAAAGAGACAAAGTAAACTCCCCAAAGGAAGACCTTGGGCTGGGTACAGTCTGCTGTGACACTGGCACCCTGGGCCTTGGAGTCAATTACAAAGAGAGCTTTAGATTTCAAGCAGTTCTGAACACCTGTGAAATTGTGGGAGCCACCTTTCTAGGGATGCTACAGACCTAAAAGTAACTGCCAAGGTAACTCACAAATGGGCAATTGGTTAAGAAACCAGCACACAGAATATCAGAGACCTGGTAGCTGTAGTGCTGGGAAAGATGGGGGCAAAGCGGACTTTCAGAGCATGTCCTAGACCAGACACGAGACTTCTGTTGCTGTGCACACTTGTAGGCTAGGGTAACTTGACATGTGTTTCAAGTAAAGCAACGAGAAGTGGAGCAAAAAGAACAATGAAGCTATTCAAAGAAAAGCAGTGCAGATCCATAGTGCTTGACGTTTCTAATCTATCCTCATGGTGTCTGATTTATCTGGGATTATCAGTCCCCATCCCTTCTAGACATGTGGGATACTGGCAGTCTCATATGTGGGACATAACCCCCCCCCCTCCCCCCCCATTTAAAAGATCACTTGTAAATGGTTCCTTGTCTAGCTGAAATGTAATTTCTCTGGTTGGTGAAAATGCAGCATGGAGGCTGTGCCCCAAGGAGAAAGATGCATTAAAACTAGAGAAGCTTGAGAACTGGGGAGCCAAAATGGCATTTGTGGAGGCAGGTGAGCTTAAGAATGGGACAGGAAGAGCCATCTTGGCTTGCAGGTAGCAGGGCTAGTTCCAAGCCAGGTTTTCCAATAACCCTCTTTTGCAATTAGTTTAGATACTTTTTCATCTCCCAGATCACTAGTTCTGCTACAGTATATTTTGCAGCCCATGTCATGCACAGTTGAGTAACAGAGATGAAAACGTATAATAATGATAGAGGATGTGTTTAACAGGGCCTTCCAGATTAGTCATTGGCATAGTATTGTAATTCCTCCTTTTAAAAAATGCCTCCTCCTCCTGGGAGCCAGCAACTGTTGCCCGAGGGGCAGAAATACTAGAAGTGAAGGCTTTGCCTGGATCAGGCATCACACTGTGTTGTGAATTCAGTGTCATTAAGATCTCCCTTTCCCCAGCAAATTCTTTATCTTAAGGCCTGTTGGGAGTGTGGAGAGCAAGTCTACCGGAAGAACAGGACAGTCTCCACTGACAGAACCCACAAGGCCCATGGGGGAGGGAAGTGCAGCTTGAACCTCCTGTTAGCATTGTGTTGGCCCTAGTCAAAGCTCCCGATCCAGCAGCCCTTTCCAGGGAGTGTTATTGTGCAGGGTTTCACCTTGTCACTTCACCAAAACAGGCAGGTTCCTTGCATAAGTGCATCAACAGTGCAAATGAAAACAGTGGTGCTTTGCACGTTGCTTCCCTCACTTTGGGCTCCACCCTGAAAGGTGCATGTGAACGTGTGCTTAACCCTCACTAACAGCACTGTCAGTACATAAGGACTTGACTGGCCACCTGAGGGTGGGGCGGAGTCCTTACTGTCAGTTTACAGATGGGGAAGGAGAAAGGTCAAGTGCCCAGCCCAGAGCTATGGAGGAGTCACTGGTAGGACCAGGATTCACGTGCAGGCATTCTTGGCACCTGGTCCTGCACTAAGTTCACAAGACTCTTAGCTCACTGCACCGCTGGTGCTGGTACTCTACATGTGCCTGTTACATCGTGCTCTGGTGCAACCCTCGCTTGCTGGCCCAGATAGCTAATATAAAGGAGTGTAAATGGGTTCCTTAGGACAGGACTCCTGCTGCTGGAATCTCCCGCTTGTATAGAAGGATTAGAATGTGGCTTTCCCACTGTGAGGATTGCTGCCTTGGGAAAAGGCTAGTGCTGTCTGTCTTGTCTCTGGGGCAGGTGCCTTTGGAGGAGAAACAAATGCTCCCTTTGGGTACACATCTAACCCTAACCCTTTGGGTACACACCTTTAAAGTCGTGGAAAAGCCCTCTGCCTGGAACACGGGTCTCAGGCTGGCTAGCATAGTTAGGAAACGGTTTAAGTTATAGTAAAATGGGAGGGTAGCAAGAGGGAAGATCTGAGCACTCAGCACAACATCGGAGATGTTGAATAAAATTAATCAAGGAACCAAAGAACGTGAAGAGAAGAAATTATCTAATTGCATGTATACCTGTGCTAGGAGCCTGGGTAACAAACGGGGAATTGGAATTGCTCATTTATGAGCATAAACTTGATCTAGTTGGTATGACTGAAACCTGGTGGGCTGGTTCACCCAACTGGAATGTTAAGATCAATGGTTCTAGCCTATTTTAGAAGGCTCCAAGGAGGGGAGGGGGGCATTTCATGTGAAAATGCATTAGTAGTTTGCCTGTTGCTGATACCTTCAGAAAAGGCAGATGAGAGCACAAGAGGGGTCCTAGTTGGTGTCCGCTACAGACTTACAAAGCCCACGAGTGAATAGGATGACTGCATGCACCCAACTACAATGTGTATGAATAAAAGCAGTCAATCATGGGGCTTCAGTTTGAGTCACGTATATTGGCAGTCTTGTGCTGCCAGTATGGAAACAACTTTGGAATTTCTAAATATTATAGATGACTATTCCCTATCTCAAAACGTACTGCAGCCAACATAGGGAATGCTATGCAAGATCTTGTCCTCATAGAAAGAGGAACTGATTAAATTGACCTAAAAATTGATTGTAGCATTATACAGGTGATTTGGACTTGATCACATTTATAATTGGCAAGCAGAACAGAGTCCAGAATAGTAATAGAGATACGTTGTGCTTTTAATAGGGCCAATAGTACAAAGCTGAAAATAGTTGAGCCAGATTAGCTGGGAGGAAGCATTTAATAAAAAAGAATGTGAATAAGGAGGTTCCCATAACACCACTACCAAGGAAGAAGGCCAGTTTTAGAGGGGAAGTGAAGACAGTGGTAAAACCCCAAAAATAAATCTATAACATCAGAGGTTTCCAGTGGTGGGCTTTCACTCCCTTGGCAGATGGCATTGCAGCGATCCCTAGTGTTCAGAGGATGCCAGTTTGCTCAGCTTAGCACAGCGTGACCTCATATGTTCGGTGCACGTATAGAATGGCATCCTCAGAACAGCATGTCCTTGCACCCACCATATGGACGAGGTCACATGATGTGGAAGATGCTGTTTTGTAGAGCAGTGTGTTCTACAGGTTGGCATCCTCCATGCTGGGAATACTGCATTAATATGGGGTTGTGTCTGCACAGGGTGGGGAACCCCGATGCAACAAGTGGAAGAAAGAGAAATCTGATAGCAATCAATGTTGGCTTCTCAAGGGTGGGAAGATTGAGACACTGGACTGGAGAGAATGTGCCTCTTTTTAACCTGGCTTGCAGGGTTTTGGAGCTACCATAAAATCTCATTTAAAGCCATAAAATACAGAGCCCCAATTGGCAAAACAAAACCTTTGGTTGAGTCTAGGTTCAATGTTAGTCTAATAGCTGAAGCCCAGCACTGTGGTGTGAGAGTCAGGGTTGATGCCCTCCTCCAGCAGTGCTAGGAATCTGTCCCAGCAGAGGCTGAATTTTCAGCTGCAAGCAGCTACTTCCCTGCTCACTCTGAGAGCCTCACATGCCCCTGGCATTTACGATGTGGTGGCTTGTCATACAGTCCCTGCTCTGTTCATAGCTTGATTGCAGAGCCCCCCCTCCCCCCCAGCCACCCTTTTTACCGTGTGAGTTGTGGCATCCCTAGACAGGGCACAGAACGCTGAGCTCAAGTGCTCACCCTTATGCCAGAGCTCGTCATTCAGTCAGGCCTTAAAGCATGGCCCTTTTGGGGGGGTTGTCTGTTCACAGAGCTCCCTACTTGGTGTGGAGCACTGTGGGATTGGCATGGGGAGGAAGGCATTGAGACTATTGCTGCCTTTGGCCTCCTGAAAAGGCCCTCACCACTTGGCTTTCATTCCAGCTGTTCCAGGCAGAATAAGAATGTAGCCGTGTGCAAGTCTCCAGTGTGCTAGAATGCAGTGCTGCTGATTATAGGGAGCTGCCTCTGCAAGGCTCTCCTTTCTGCCCTGGTCCCTATGCATGCTGATAAGATCAGATTGGGCCAGTGTGGCCGAGCACGCAGCACTTTCCTAGGTGAAACTCTTAGAACTGCCATGTGGCTTGGAGAAAGCGTGCTCTGGGGATACCAACTGGGGAGCGACCAGGTTCCCCTTGCAAACACATTTTCCAACAGATGCAGGAGAACAGCCCAGAGGCGGAGTCTCTGGGCTGTACCAATATAGCTGCCAGTACCAATGGGAGATGCTAACTTTGAGCACCCCAGACTAAGGATGTTAAGTATTGGGTATTTCACTAATCAAACAGTGGATGCATTTTTGCATTGACTGTTTGATTAGTCGACAGGGCAGTGCTGCCCCTTTGAAATGCCGCCACAGTGTTTCAAAGGGGGGCAGCGCCGCACAGCTGTTCCCAGGCTTAGCACCGCATGGAACCTGGGGTCAGCTGGGGACTCCAGCGGACCCTGGGCTCTGTGCAGCGCTGCCCCTTTTGTTTCAAAGGAGCAGCACCACACTGAGCTAGGGATCAGCTGTGTGGCGCTGTCCCTTGAAACGCTGCCGCGGCATTTCACAGGCACAGCACCGCGTGGAGTCCAGGCTCCTTGTGGTGCTGCCACTTTGAAGTAACCCCCTCTTCCCCCCACCCCTCCTATCCTGTCAACTAGTCCTTAACATCCCTACCCCAGACTTTACCAAGAGAAGAGTTTTGTTTACTCATTGGATTTTGCTTGTGGAGCTATGTAGTGCAGGTGGTGCCCAGTGTCGGTCCCTTGAAAGCTAAGGGGGGAGAGGGGAGAAGGTGTTACCCAGTGCCAAACCCAGGGAGTGGAGGGTGGTGGTGCTCAGTGCTAGCTCCCTTGATGCCTGGGGTGGAAGAACATGAGAGCATGTGGTGCCCAGGATCTCTTGCTGTGCCAGGCAGGACAGGAGGGATGGCTGTTAGTGCCTGATGTTGGATCCCTTGCTGTCTGGAGGGGGAAGCTGTTTTAGAATGACGGTATTCCCCCTGCTGCAGGCATTGCCTGAGATGTGATCTTGTCAGGGTGGGTTGGAATTAGGGCTGCTGAGGTGGCAGAGCATATCAGAGACTTGACTGTGCCCCGGGAGTGAGCCTTACTGCCCATTCACTCCCCAACAGTCCATGCACTGAGCAGGAAAAGATTTCTGTACCACTAAGAGTGTGCCAGGCTGTGCTGAAGGCAACGAGGAGCTGCTTGCTGTTGGGTCACAGCTCCTGGGGAGGGAGGGACGGGGGAGAGAGCTGTCCTGGTATCTGTGATTACCCCCTATGCTAACCAGCCAGTTCTTCTTTCCAAAACAGATGGCAGCTCAGAGGCAACGGGCCCTGGCCATCATGTGTCGTGTCTACGTGGGCTCCATATACTACGAACTGGGAGAAGACACCATCCGCCAGGCCTTTGCTCCATTTGGACCTATCAAAAGTATTGACATGTCCTGGGATTCTGTTACAATGAAACACAAGGTTGGTTCACAGCCCCTAGCCGTGGTTTCTGTTATTCTGAAGTCCCCCCTGCATGCACCCAGGGAAGGAGGAACCTTCACACTGTTAGTCTGCAGTTTAGAGCCAGCAATGGTTCCTATTACATTCTGCTGCAGGTTATGGGTGCACATCTGGAGCTGGAGTTTTGGGGATTGAATGTAGTGGCCTCCTGCCCTGCCCTGCCCTGGTTTTTAGTGTCACCAGAAACCATAGTAATGACTGACCGCAGCATGTGGTGCCACTGTAGGGATGTTGGCCACGGAGCCTGGGAAATGCTGAGCAGTTAGCTGGCCTTGTATGTGTGCACTAGCCTTTTGCCCTTGCTAAAAAGCCTGTTCTATGTATGAACAGCTCAGGAAGCAAGTGGCTGCAAATCTGTTCAGGGCCTTCATGCTCTCTGTTTTAGCATGCTGCAGGGAAAGGCTTTGGGGGTGGGACTCCCTGGCTGACCAGGTGGGCCCTGGCACAGTGTGAGGGACAGGCTGCATTAGTTGGCAGAATGAGAGCACTAGGGGTGCAACAAGAAGAGACTGGTACAATTTAATAGGGGTTCCCCTCTGTCTTCCTAGGGCTTTGCTTTCGTGGAATATGAGGTGCCTGAAGCTGCGCAGTTGGCCTTGGAGCAGATGAACTCTGTCATGCTGGGCGGGAGAAACATAAAGGTGAGTGACGGCAGGCCGCGTGATGTGGGAGTGCTGCTGTTTGCGTTACAGGGATGGGGCTCTTCAGATGGCCAGGGGATTCCAGCTGCATCTGAGGGCTTACTGCTGTCAGAAAAGCTGGGTTCCTAGGAGATCTGTTCTTTTCAGTGTGCCCCCTGTCTCCACTCACTGATAACTGGCTGGCTCTTGGCACTTGCCTCTGGAGAGGGCCCATTCAGTGTTAAAATACACTAGAAGGAGGGGGAAGGGTGTTGTACTCTGCACAGAATGGGAGCATTTTGTGGGTAAGATGTGGAGGTTAGCAGCCAGGTCCTGAGCAGAGAACAGACAAGTGACTGCCGACCCTGCTTGTGCCTGTTGGACTCCACCCAAAGAAGGCTCTGGGGTAACCTAAAAGGGTCAAGTACAATCTGAAAGAAACAAGGAACTTGAGCTTCATATTCCCAGCCGTGAAGCAAGAGGTTCTCTGACAGGCTGAGACACTTCGGTGGCGTTCCTTTTTCGCTGCCTCTGGAAGTCCAGGGTCTTTACATCTCTCACCAGAATCCTTTCCTCTTGCCTCGCTTTTCAGGCTGTTTCAGTGCCTGCTTGATTATGCGTTTGGGGTAGCTCCAGAGAATAGTGTGGAGGCTTTTTGCCCTGCCTGCATCATTGTTCTCGTCTCTTAGAAGCTGGTCGCTAGTTGGGGAGGGAAGGTGCAAGTATGAAGTGCGCTTGCTCAGTAGCGTAGCTAGTGTCTCAGAGAACGTCCTGTGTCTTGGTAACCCTGAGATCTCGTGGGAGCCTTGTGGAGTTGCTGGAGACTGCAGCCCAGATATGACAATTAGTTGTGGCTCTGGTGCTAGTTGCCATGCCATGGAAAATATTCTGTGGTTTTCACTAGGTTCAATGGCTCCCAACATTTGCAGTCCTGGTGTTGAAAGTGAGTCACAGTGCTGGCTCTTGGAGTGCTCAGAGGTGTTTACATTTGCTTTGCTCTCCACAGGTTGGTAGGCCTAGTAATATTGGCCAGGCACAGCCAATCATAGACCAACTAGCAGAGGAGGCACGAGCTTTCAACCGCATCTACGTGGCATCTGTTCACCAGGACCTGTCAGATGATGACATTAAGAGTGTGTTTGAGGCCTTTGGGAAGATTAAGTCCTGCACACTAGCCAGGGACCCCACAACAGGGAAGCACAAAGGCTATGGCTTCATTGGTAAATTGACAGCTGTGATACTTGTCATGGAATGGGGTGGGGGTATCATTGGGATGGGTTTTGTCTGCTTCCTCCAGTGGCAGTGAACTTCTGCTTTCAGCAAGTGGCGGACTGAGTAGCCCATGGCCAGACATCAGAGTGCTGCCTGGCTTTCAGTTGGACACTGGAATCTGACAGGTAGAACCTCCCAAATCCGGGACTCTCTGGTCTGGCTATGTCCGTGGTCCGGCAATCCCCGGAGGTAGAAGTGGGAGCCAGCCGGAGAACAAGGAGAACCCCTGGCATCAGGTGGGCCAGGCAGCCAACGAGGAGCCCCTACCCTCTCTGGGGAACTCCCTGCAGCAACAGAGCCTGGTGGCACCCGGCCAAGAAACCGCCGGCAGGAGCAGGACTGACTCTGGTGGTGGCCAGGGAACCCCAGAAACTCCTAACAGCATCTGGCATGGGAGCCCTGGCCAGAGAACCCTCGGCAGCAGCGGGGGAGTCTTGGTCAGGGATCCCCGGGGAATCCCCAGTGGCAGTGGGGCTGGTGGCCAGGTGGTCCTGGAACAGAACCCCGGGAAGCCTGGTGGCAGTGGGGCCAGCAGCACCTAGGCGGTCCTGTCCAGAGCCTGGGGACCTCTGGTGACAGTGACCAGCAGCTGAGTGGGAGCCCCAGCCTTGGGGGCCCAGGAGTGGGACAGCAAGCAGAGGAGCATTAACATCCCCTGTCCAGCAAAGTCCGTCGTTCGCGACCGCTCTGGTCCCGAGGCTGCCAGACCTGGGGTGTGATGAGAACCGTCTCCCTTTCTGCTGCATGTTTGAGAAACTCCTGGGTAATCGGAGGGGCTTGGAGCATGATCTGAGAAGTGAGGGAGTGGTTGGCAAGGGCAGTGATGGCTGGCACTCTCCACCATCATGTTCCTAGAAGCCAGACTGAAGCTGTTCAGGGAAAGACATCTGAGATTAGCAGGCAGCGTGTGGGGCACTGACGGCGAGAGCCCGAAAGTCCCATCTTTAAGGAGCACGCAGTTAGGAGTCAAATTACCATTTCAGAGTATGAGAAGGCACAGTCATCGCAAGATGCTGTCTCATCAATGAACCTCTTTGACTTGGGTGGCCAATATCTCCGGGTTGGCAAAGCTGTCACTCCCCCAATGCCTCTCCTAACACCTGCAACACCAGGAGGATTACCCCCTGCAGCAGCTGTGGCTGCAGCAGCTGCCACAGCAAAGATAACAGCTCAGGTAAGAAACAGAACAGCAGGACTTGCAATGAGGTGGGTGAGTGTGTGCACTGTTGTAGAGCCCAGTGATCCAGGTTCAGCTAGTGCCCTGTAGGAGCATCTGGCTAAGTGACCTTTGTTGCGCCTACAGGCTAGTTCTCCCGGCCTCTTGTGGAGACTGACCTAAGGGTAGTGGGGTGTGCAGCCCCGGTTCAGTCTTGGGTCTGTAGGAACTGGCCTTGCTCGCGTCACGAGGCTGATTGGTTTCAATGCAGTTTGATTGTTCTGAAGCAGTTGCTTGCAGTGTTGTCTCAGTAGGGCCATGCTGGAAGAAAGAGAGGTGCTGAGGAAGTGGGGAAGCTTTTTGCTTTGGAATTGACTCCATCTGCCTGAACTGTCCTGAAGACTCTGGGTTGGGGAGCCCTTGGCATATCTGTCCCTCAGGGCTCGCTAGATGAGCTGCTTGGCTTTGGGTGATAAGTATGGGCAAGTGCCTGCCCTTCTGGGGGTTGGTATATGGTGGCTGTGGTGTCTGATCAAGTTGAGCTGCATACATTGCTCTGCTCTGCCCAGTGGCTGAGCTGGGCCTGGTAGTTTGTAGAGCAGTTTGCTGGCCCCTGCGGCCCGGCTCTTTGGTAAGTCTCTCTGAATGCCCTGAGCAGAACTAACACTCTGACTTTTCTCTTGTAGGAAGCAGTGGCAGGAGCTGCAGTCCTTGGCACGCTAGCAACACCTGGGCTGGTGTCACCAGCACTGACCCTGGCCCAGCCTCTGGGGGCATTACCGCAGGCCGTAATGGCAGCGCAGGCACCTGGAGTCATTACGGGTATGGCTGCTCTTCGTTCTCTCATTTCCACTGCTATTCCAAGACCGCACTAGTCCCCACAGCTGTAGTGGCTTCTGGGGAAGTGGGGTCAGGAGCCAACTCCTTTTTCTCAAGTATCAGACCCTCATGGCTCCTGTAGAGGGCAGCGAGAGCTCAGTGGACGAGAAGATCCGTGAGATGTAGTTGGGCACCGTGGCTGGTCCTGCAGCCATGAGGATTGATGCAAGGGACAAGGTTGCAGTTCCCTTGCATCCTCTTTGATCAGGAGAATAACTTTGTTCTTTTGTGAGTCTTGTACTCGGGGAAATGAACCCATCTCTGAAGGAGGGGTGTGAGCAGACTTGTGGGCGTGTGTTGGGCAGGCAGCCCACCAGTGCCCTAAAAGGGCTTAAGTATCAGAGGGACAGCCATGTTAGTCTGGCTCTGCAAAAGTGACAAGGAGTCCTATGGCACCTTATAGACTCACAGATGTTTTGGAGCATAAGCTTATGCTCCAGTACATCTGTTAGTCTGTAAGGTGCCACAGGACTCCTTGTCGCTTATAAAAGGGCCTGCAACTGAATTGTACTTTTGGGTTGCAGAGTTCTGATTTCTCCTTGCACTGCTTTATGTGGTGAGTGCGGCAAGGGCCCGGAGCCAGCAGGGACATAGTGCCCCGAGCAAAAGCATCACAGTGGTCGCTTTACCTCACACAAACCAGATGCAGCCCCGTCTCGCTGTCTGCCCATCCCCTCGGGGGTGCATTGTGACTGGCAGGAGAGTCTTTCTTCTCGCCTGTTTGCCCTGGTGGTCAGGCTCTCTGTGGCAGTTACTAAAACCCTTCCTCCTAATTCCATGAGGCCGGGTGTTCCTGGCTGGCTTTCTTCCTGGTGCGGCAGCGTGCCAGTCCTAGCGGTAAGCTCTTTTTACCTCTCTTGAATCTGTGTATTCACTTGCAGGTGTGACCCCCGCTCGACCGCCTATCCCAGTCACTATTCCCCAGGTGGGGGTAGTGAATCCTATCCTGGCAAGCCCCCCCACATTGGGTCTGTTGGAGGCCAAGAAGGAGAAGGAGGAAGAGGAGATCTTCCAAGAATCAGAGAGGCCTGAAATGCTCAGTGAGCAGGAGCACATGAGCATATCGGGCAGCAGTGCCCGTCACATGGTGATGCAGAAACTGCTTCGCAAGCAGGAGGTGAGCGTGCTCCTGAGTGACTGGATTCCCAGGGACCCAGTGCAGCCTACAGGTCACAAGGCTGGCTTGGATCTGTCTTAGTTCTGTCCAGCTTAGCAATACTGTGTATGGTGCAAAGTCACAAAGGGGGTGTTCCCTAGATGTCTTACTGAGTTATGCTTCGTGCAGTTGCCGGTATCGTAACCAGTCATCACTTGCTTTGGGTGAAGGATCTGGCTTTTCCCCCTCTGCCGTGAAAGGAGGAGCTCTGTAGCGAGGTGCTTTGCACAGACACATGCCACTGCTGTGCCCTGTTCCCCAGCAATTAGACCAAAGATGCTGATGAACTATTAGGACACTATAGTCACTGATGTCCTGGCCCCCAAATTTCTCCCTGGTCTGTAATTCCCACATGCCACCATGGTTTGTCATTAGCCAGTGGCTGCTGAATTAGGAGGAACTAAAACGCAGAGCTGTAGTGTTAGGCAATCTCTGATTGAATGCTTGTCCACCACATTGTTCTTGCTGGCTGTTTTCCTGCAGCCAGCACTGTGCTAAGTGTCTTAGTGCAGTTACCGAGGGCTCACAAGCTGCGTTTCCTCTATCGTGCATGGCTGTGCACAAAAAATCCTAACTCCCCCACCACCTTCGCTGAGCCGCGCAGAAGCACTCACCTTCCTGCTGGACATGGAAGATGAGTGGTGTGGCTACTCCCATGGCTGGGGCCGCGTTGTGGGGCAGCTGCTCCAGCTGCTGCCAGGGCTGGGGGACAGACTGGTGGGGCAGCATAAACCTCCCTTCTTGAGAGAGAACTTTTGAAAATTGAAACTTGATCCCCTCTCTTCTCTTTTATTTCAATTTTGATCCTCTTTTACATCATTGGTGAATACTTCTCTGGACTTTGGGGGTATTATGGGGTCGTTTTTCTTCCTCTTGTCCTTGCAAGATTGTAATAGACAATGCGGAGGATTCCTCCTCTGGTGACTTTCTATTCCCTTTAGGTGTGTGTTCCATTCTAATGGGTCTGTCTCATTGAAGTGCTATCCTATCCCTGCTACTAAACTCTGAGATCCCACATTTTAAAATGTCTGACAAGTTTTCAATGGCTTGTGTGTGTTTGTTTTATTGAGATTTAGTTTTGAAATCACTAATATTTTACGGCCTGTTTTTTGTTCCTGCATGAGGGCTGTATGGTGATCCTTTTATACCTCTGTGCCATTTTCCTGCTTTGCAGGTACCAGTGTAAGGTGGGGGAAGGTAGCGTGTGCTTGTCTTCCCACGAATGGGCAGCGTGTGGGCAAATCCTTAACTCTACCGTCATCTCCAGGGCACAACGATTTAGATATTGGCATAGAAAGTACGCTTATTAAGGTTGCAGATGATACCAAGCTGGGAGGGGCAGGCGCGCACGCAGGACTTCCCTGAGCGGGGGAGGAGGGGGGGTCAGCCCCGGGGCAGGCACACACATGCGGGTGTTCCCTGCGCGGGGGTGGGGGGTCGGGCCTGGGGCAGGCACGT